CTGTTGATGCCGAGTTAGCAAGGAGAGGAAGCCCACCCGAACCCCCACCCCGAAAATACATCAGGCCGAAACATATTTTTTGGCTCTGTTTTTTTTTTTCGGAGTGTCGGCGAGTGTGGCGGGCCCTTAGGGCCCCTAGGGGCCATCGTATTTTTGTTGGGATGGAAGAATGGGGGGAGGGCTTTAGAAAAGGCGATACGGCGAAGGCGAAGAAGTGGAAACAGCCCATGGAAAGTTGGAAGGTGGCAAGAATAGACACCTTTTTGTGCATTGGTGTCTCTACCTCTTTCTCTCTCTAATTTCCCATAAAAGACGATGTTTTAGGAGAGGGCGTATGTCATGTGGGAGGCTTTGGGTTAATCGCTATTGGTCAAATTGTTTGATACTACAATAACGTCTTCTCGAAAAGCTCTGAATAGCACTAAAAATTGCAGTCTATCCGAGATTGTTGAGGAAGAGGAGAGGGCAGGCTAGCAGAGATTGTTGAGGAAGAGGAGAGGGCAGGCTAGCAGAGATTGTTGAGGAAGAGGAGAGGGCAGGCTAGCAGAGATTGTTGAGGAAGAGGAGAGGGCAGGCTAGCAGAGATTGTTGAGGAAGAGGAGAGGGCAGGCTAGCAGAGATTGTTGAGGAAGAGGAGAGGGCAGGCTAGCAGAGATTGTTGAGGAAGAGGAGAGGGCAGGCTAGCAGAGATTGTTGAGGAAGAGGAGAGGGAGGGTAGCTATAACTTTTTAAGAACAGGCACTAGAACGTTCTTCGAACACTGGCAAGAATTGTTGTAGTCAAGCTTGTTATCAAGATTGATTCCTGCGAAATATTTTGTTATTTAGCACTTAGTTTTGATTTTAGATTTTAATTCAATTTTAAACTTTTAGTATTTTTCAAATATTGTATCTTACGCTATTTTCGGTTTTAATATTGCTATATATAAGAAAATTTGTGTGTCGTTTTTCACGGCGGATTTTGATCAAAAGTCCGAGTTTTTCAAAAATTTATAGAAGTTTTGGATAGTTTTTCTAGCTGAAATGTAGTTTTATTTAGTTAAAAGATTATGAAAAGTACTTCCTATGAAATTAATAGGCTTTCTAGGCTTATATAAAAATGTTGCCCCCCCCGATAATGCTAAAGAACCGATTGCGATACGATATACATAAGAGACTTCCAAGTCCCTTTAATCGGCCGGAATCTAGCGTGCGTGCTTGGTGGTGGTATATTTTCGTATTTGCGGCTTCTTCCCCATCTTTTGCTAAGGTCCCATCCCCCTCCAGAGTCCCATTCTCCCCGAGGCCACTTCTTCGTCTTATCTCTTCCGTTTCTTCTCCTCCTCTTCCATTTCCATCCTTTTCATCCGTCCGTCCATCCAAATGAGCATAGTGGAGGGTGGAGCACAAGCTCGGCCAAGTGCCCCCGTTCCCCACACACTATTTTCGAACTCCCCGACAACGCCCCGCCATCGCTCCACATTCCAAATTACGGCTCGGGTTTCAGAGTGGTTTTCACGGTTTTTCGGGTTTTTTTTATTTGGAAAAGATTTCAATGCCGAAATTGATTTTGTCGAAAACGAAAATGCCGACATTCATTTGACCGAATTTTTTACCGAACATAATTTTGACGAACGGGATCTTATGATTTTTTTCTGGTCGTGATGATTTGTCGATATACTGTCGAAATTTCATCTTGTCGAAAGTCAATTGATTGCAATTTTAACTTGTCGAAAATTAGAATGCCGACATTCATTTACTCGAACTTTCACCTTATCGAAAATAATTTTGCCGAAAGTTATTTCGCGAATTTTTGTTGTCGAATACCATTCTTTCGAAATTTTACAGTGTCGAAATTTCATTTTTTCGAAAACAATTTTCTTTTGTCAAAAAATTTTATCTTGTCAATTACCATTGAAATTTTAAGATTTAATTTAATAAAGATTTAATTAGTTTACGAAACTGGGTTCATGGGCTGCATTTCTAAGCGGCTGACTGGTTTTTTAAGCTTTTTAGGTGTTTTAAGTTTATCGATCCGGTTAATAGGTTAGGGACGTCAAATGACGGTTTCGGTTGGGTGACCGGTTTTGCCTGTTACGCGTACTGACCGCGTGTCGCGACACCTTTAAAAATTTTTTTAAAGCACTCTGTCACCGCTTCATTAAGGCAAACCGATAATTTACCGCGCTATGATTTAATGGGACATTTTTCCGTTCGGGACGCATAATGGATTTTTCGAAAATCAAATTCTCAACTAGTTCGTTACAATCGGCATTTTCTTAGTCGTAAAAAAGTTAGAGGCAGACTAGCAGAGATTCTGCAAGAAAATTTTAAATAAGGTTTATGCCTGCCTGCTGCCTCATAATACTAAACGAAATGGATTTTTGGTGTCTGGATTGCGATGAAACACTTTAAATTTTTATGACCACGCATTTTTCGGGGTTTCTCATTATGCTATTGAATTTGTAATAAAAATCTGTTTTTGGTATTTTCACGGGCAAGCCGGCAGAGTTTCTTTGAGAATGGAGGTCCTCAACTTCGTCTATTAATAATTCGAAAAGTGCAGCGATCTCAGAATTTTCTAGAACATATTTTTTTAAATCTAAAAAAATCAGGTAGGCTGCTTTTTAAACAAATTCCCACCCGTTTCGCTTTGTCTTTATCGGCGTTTCCGGCTAGGCAGGGGCCAGAGCGTGGCGCTAACTGCCATCAGGGGCCCCAAGGAATCGAAGCGCCGAATTTGGAAGCAAGAAGAAGAAGAAGCACCCCACATCCCTCTCTCTCTCTCTCTCTCTCTCTCTCCCTCGCTCCCTCTCTCTCTCTTTCTACCACTACGACATTTTCCCCAAACGCCAAATGCCACCCCCAAACAACAAACATACACCACCATCATCTGATTCACGTTAGTACGTTTTTGATGGATAAGAACATGCGTTTCAAAATAACACGAGCTCGCGCTTATGTGGAGTTTGAGAATGGACCGATGAGCAAAGCGGAATCAATCAAAAATTGAAAAAATAAGTTTCATTAAAGCTTATTTATTGCAAATTCCGAGATTTTATAATATAGCGCCATAACGAAAAATTTCTAGCTTCACACGAAAAATCTTCAATAATGTTTCGATATTTTACGTGATTTTTCAAACAAAAATAGAATTTTAAGGCTGTTTGAAGTCAGGATCATCAACCCAACATCATTGTTCGGCACTAAAATTGTAGACCTAACGAGCAACGAAATTGAAGATCTGAATTTTCAAGATTTTTTGGGGTGATGATAAAATTAATGGGTTCTTTTGCGTTATCAAGGGGAAAGGCTAATTTTTCTAGTCGGACTTTTGCCCCTTAATTCTGCCAATCTTTGGTTAGTAAATTTACTATAGTTTTTTAAGATTTATTTATGTAAAGTATTTACTTATAACGGTCGACCCCTGGAGAATAATAATTAACGATCGACCCCTAAAGAGATTAACAATAAAAATTTTTTTCTTAATTTTAGAATTACTTAAAACACATTTTTTCACGAAAATTTGTTTTTTCCTGGGTACTTGTTTATTTTGGGTGTAAATCCCGGGGCGATCCATCAGGGCGGCACTCAAACTTTTCGACTGGCGCCTGCCAGTTTTTCGGCTTTTTGCCCCTCTTTCCGTCGAGTTAAAGAGACGGGAAAGCTGATCCTCCACCCCTCATGCTCATCACAACGATTTTGCAGTGTTCTCTGTCTCTGTCTCTCTCTGTCTTTCTCTTTCTCTCTCTCTCTCTCTCTCTCTCTCTCTCTCTCGCCTTCCAAAGCGCATTCCCCAAAAAACCTTAATAGCCCCACTAGGCCCAGGCCCGCTCCCGCAATAAAACGCCAAATCATATAGCTCACTGAATCCCCGGGAAACCTGGAGGTGATATTGGCTATTGATTGAATATACATATTTGCATACTATTATTACTATTTAATACTTGTATTACTACTTGCTAATATTTGCATCTACTCCCCGGCCAAAAAAAAATTCCGACCGCAAGAATTTTACGATTGATAAGAAAAGTTGAAACATACGAAAAAATCGGATTGCTAAACCGTAACTCCCAAAAATAAATCCCAATAATAAATAAATCCTAATCAAATCACGTTTTTGAAGAAGACTTGAAACATACAAAAAATTGAATCGAATCGAAAAATCGAATCTTTGAATTGGAGCTCTACCGCTAATTCCTTAATTTATTGCTGGTTTTCACAGTCTGAACCTTCCCACTTCCGCTTTTTACTATTTTTTGAGACATTGAAAACGTCAGAACGAAAAAAACGTGGAATTTATCTGAATTTCGATTAATCCCGCGAAATATTTCTACGCTACGATTACGACCAACACACAATTCCATTAAAGTTATTCCACGCAAAAAATCGAGGCCGACATACGATTTTGCGCGAGGTTCCCTAATTCATCGTGGAGGCCCCCGAGCAATTAGCCGCATCTCGCTGTATATAATTTTGTGACGTTCTGAAGTCGTGGAGATACGAGAATCATTGATTTTCTGGCTATAAGATATATTCTAAATTCTCAAAATTAACCTACTAAAATTAAAGAATTTGACGTCATATATTATATATTATTGTAAAGAGCTATTTTGAAGCGAAACAATCGGAAAGAAAAGGACGGAGGAAAACATCAATATTGGCGGGCGGCGATCTGGGTGCTACTATTATTGTCTTGCTACATATCAATTCTACGACCGGCAACGATCGAACAATCCGAAAAAAAGGAGTTTTTTCGGTATCAGAGACGCTTTAAAATAATACCCAAAAAGCATCAATAATAGCCGAAACATTGCGCATAACTACGATACTTCTAATGTCACAAACGACCCCATATTCGGAAACATATTTTTGAAACGGATTTTGCTAATCTTGACGGCCAACTGTATTGCCTGCTGTACCTCCTCCTATCAAGTCTCTGGAATCTGGTTCTGTCACCACCCCTTTAAAAACCCGGCCAAAATGCTCGGGAAAAACTGGCTTTTCCCGGGCGACGAAACGATGCGACTTGTACAGCACCGAGCACCAGGTATACCGGAAATTACCTTAATTTTGGATCCGCTTTCTGTGTTTATAAACGTCGCCAGACCTAGGCGACAGGATCCCCAAGGATCTCTGCTAGTGTGCCTTTTTCGACCTTGGAATTCTATTATCAATTTTTTAATGGGGAACAAATGAGCCGAATTGCTGAAATTCCCAGTGGGTCTACTTTGATTTTTTTTTCGAAACACACTTTTTTCCCGAAACTGTTGCTTTAGGCGCGACTCGGCCAGTTAGATAGCGTAATGAAATACCAGTCCCCAAAAATCGCTGCTAGCCTGCCTTGTCTTGACCTTCGACTCTCTTGCTTTTCTTTCCTTCTATTTCTTTAAGCCATCCTTGCCAAATTAAATACCGTAATCAAATCAGGGTCCTCAAAAACCTTTGCTAGCGCGCCTTGTTTGGCACGGGGATGGCAAAGTTATAATTAAATTTCCGTCAAAAAGAGATTGCTGAATTATGGGAATTCCCAATGGGTCTACTTCGAATTCCATCGATGCATGTTTTTTCGGAAGAAAATATCGATATTTGGAGTTTTTGAGGATTGCTTACGACCCAGGTACTAATAATTTTTCGTTTTAAGAATACCTCTCGGTGGAATGGCGCCCGAGCTTCTCCAGCTCGCTGTCGTCGTTTAGCAGCCGGCGGAGCAGCTGCGAGATGTCGAAGAGCGTCAGCATCCCACAGGTATATTAATGCACACCCCGCGTAATTTTCGTTGCTACGAGTTTGTACCAATTTTCGACAAGTTTTTACCGCGAGATAGGCGATCCATTTTCGCAATTAAATTGAAACATGCCAAATTCCGGGGCTTATAAAGTTTTCAAAGATATTCATGTACAGGGTGTCCCAAAAAAAAACCCCCCTCGGCATTTGGCCGTCTTCTATCGGATCGGGGCCAAACTTTTACCAGTGATGGGGACCCATAAAAACTATGTGCAGCCGAATTTTCTAAGCAAAATATTGTAAAACCAAAAAGTTATCGCTAAAAAACTGATTTTTGGAAAACGCTGGTACTCGTTTTTGGCTATGTTTTCGCAATTAGCATGCGGATTTTGAGAATTTTCCAAAAAATGGTCATTTCTCGGTCAGTTTCTGGCAATTTCAATAATAAAAAGTGATCAAAAGGCCCAATTTAAACGTAATTTTTGTTAATCAAAAAGTTTCTACAGGTAGAAAAGAGTGCCCTCTTCATTTTTGCTAAACATTTTGAGGCCGAAATCCGTCAAAATCCGAGTGAAATCGGCAAAATAAACCTTAATTTCGATATATCTTCTTTGTTTTACAATATTTTGCTTGGAAAATTCGGCTGCACATAGTTTGGTACACATAGGATAACGGGGGGGGAATAAAATAACGGGGGGCACTCATTATTATGAAATTTGCAATTACTGAGGGATTTTGCGAGTGCCATTCGATAGAGCGTCGAAAAATATACTAAGAGAATTAATTTCAGCCCGAAATAATGTAATAGAAATTTTTTATTGAATAAACAAAAATTGAGGAAAATCTATGGGCAGCACATAGGATAACGGGGGGGGAAAGTCAAATTTTCGAAATTTTCGAAATTTTCGGCATTTTGAAAACGTCATTCGGTAAAGCGTCGAAAACTGCCCTAGGAAAATTAATTTCAGCTCGAAATAATGTAAATGAAATTTTTTATCGAATAAACAAAAATTGATCAAAATCCATGGGCAGCACATAGGATAACGGGGCGGGAAAGCCAAATTTTTGAGATTTTCGATATTTTGAAAACGCGAATCGATAGAACATCAAAAAATATACTAAGAGATTTTTTTACAACGCGAAAAAATGTATTATAAAAGTTTTATAGCCTAAAAACTATTTTTGAAAACTATGGGCAGCACATAGGACAACAGGGGGGGGGGATTTCGGCGTTTTGAATATTTTCGAAATTTTGAAAAAGCCATTCGATAGAGGACCGAAAAATATACTAAGAGTTTTTTTTACAGCCCGAAAAAAGCTAATTTAAAAATACTTTTATCATATAAAAAGTTTGAGTGCCCCCCCGTTATTTTTCCCCCCGTTATCCTATGTGTACCCATAGTTTTTATGGGTCCCCATCACTGGTAAAAATTTGGTCCCGATTGGATGGAAGACGGCCAAATGCCGAGGGGGGTTTTTTTTTGGGACACCCTGTAATTGAAGGTTTTTTCTTAATATTTGAAGCAGCTAAAATTTTGTACTAGCCAATGATTTAAAAAATTTCAAGAAAATCTGCTTTTGAAAAAAATGTTTTGTGCCTTTCCCCAAGCTACAAATTTTTGGTGAACCTAATTCCTCGGCCACTTCAAGAAGTTTCCGCGTAATTTTTTGGCAGGAAATGCCTATTAACCCCATAACAATTTTTTTCATAATGTTTTGATAAAATTGACTGTATTTCGAGCGGAAAAACTACCTCAAGAACTTCGAAAAACCTCTAATTTTGTAATTTTTGATAAAAATTTGTAGGGTTTTTGATCTTTTGGAGTGGCAAAAAGGTTTTCAAGAGCTTACATTTCCAAATTTCCAAATTCAGGCTAAATTTAGGAATGAAACGATTTATATGAAAAAAATTGGGTCCTAAGGAAAAACCGGTTTCGTCCGATAACCCCCCCCCCCGAGAATGCAAAAGCTCCGAAAAACTGAAGCGTACTATAGCGTGGTGTAACGTAGCTAGTATTCCTTCCAGGCCCTCTCCGAGCTCCGGAAGGGCAGTACGCTACGCCGCAAGAGCACGACAAGCAAGCGAAAAGTACCAAATGCAAAGCTGCCCCTCGCCGGATTTGTAATCTTCATCGCGACGCGCAGTGGGCGGATTTTAATATACGGTAAGTGGGTTACGATATTAGATTAAAAAAATAAAAATCAATGAATATAGCAAAATTGGCTTTTGCCTTTAAACCATTGTTTCTACAATCTACCGCCTATTAACACTGCAACCATAACGGCAAATTGGCCATTTTTTTGAAACATCCAAAATCTAGAAAGCCAAGAGGATTTAGTTTTTGAAAATTTGCATTTGCATATGACGGTATAATTATGTGATCATCAAAAGGCGGCAGCGGTGTTATGAGTTTAATAAATTAGCTGAGCGCTAAAAAGCCCTAGATTTAAACTAAACGACAATTTTCGAACAAGTAATTCTCGGAGAATTTCAATAAAATTTTTAATTTACACCATTTTAAATTCTACCATTAAAGCCTGACGATTTAATTACAAAATTTAATGAGACGGCAAAGATTTCAACATAGAAATTTGATGAAGCACAAAAATTCCCATTTTGCAAAATGATTTCGTGATAAAAAGGATTTTCCATCACCATAATTTTTAGAGCGATGTGTTAACTAAAATGGATTTTTAAAAATGTATCAAAAATATAAATAAATATAAAATAAAAATAATGTAAATCATATAAATTAATGCCCTATTAAGAAGGTCGGCAGACCCGAATCCTGACAATTGAAAGAAACACGAAAAATTCCGTTTTCGAAAAAAAAAATTGTCTTTAGAAAAAGGCGTTCTCATCACTGTAATTTTAAAGCGACAATTTAACTGTAATATTTTCCATGTTTTAGGCACTCCGGCCGATCGAGCGAATCTTTCCGTGGGGGATGAAATCATTGGTGTGAATGACTGGGTGCCGGATGGGAAAACGCGCGAAGAAGTCGTTGATCATGTACAGCAGGTATTGAATTCTCAACTTCGGCAAAATTTGTAAAAAGCGATTATGCTAAAACTGCAGGTTACGCAAAGATTCCGAGCTGGCTTTGATTACGGATTGAAAAAATGTTTCGAAAATCTTTATAAAACAACATTTTTCTGGCCGCTTACTGACTTTAATATTCAGATTTCTTGGGCAACCCGTATTTAACGCCCTTTCGCGCCCCTTCACGCCTCCTGTAAATAACGCCCCCTGTATTTCGCGCCCCCTGTATTTAACGCTCTCCTGTAAATAACGCCCTGCAAAACGAGCTTTTTCCTGTAAATAACGCCCTTTTCGGGGTCATTTGGAGGGCGTTAAATACAGAAGGGCGTTAAATACAGGGGGGCGTTATTTACAGGGGGCGCGAAATACAGGAGGGCGCGAAAGGGCGTGAAGGGGCGTTAAATACGGGTTGCCGATTTCTTGTGCAAAAACAGGTTCGCTGCCAAAAAAATTGTTTCGACAAGTCTCCGGGATGGACAAACCTTTTTTCAATGTAGGGAACATTTTCAAGCAGAGAACTAACAAATGAAGCAATAAGAACTAATAGTTTTCAGTATATTTTTTATGTTTCAAGGAAACAGCTCAACAAGCGTTATTCTACGAAACTATTGCACCCGTGGCATGATAATTGAAAAAAGCAAATCAAAGAATTTTACCCATTTTTATTTGATTATCTCGTGATTTTTAGTGCATCAAAACGCGGACAATCCAGTTGAGGGTTCGGCGTCGCATCGACGATACGATAGGTGAGGGCAAAAAACCGAAAAACTATGATTTATGTTTCAAAGAATTTTGGTTTGTATAGTTTTAGATTGATAACTAATCAAGCCAACTCATTGAACGTAACTGGATTTAGAGACGGACCTGAAGCTCGGGCTGGCTAAGGTTACCGACGTTTTTCTGGTATCTGTCGAACAGTCACATATCAAGGGAGTGCTGAAGGTTTTGGAAAAGTGAGTTTCACTAGTTTGCCCCGTTTTGAAGCGATTGCACGCTTTAATTTTTTCTTTTCATATATTTCTTGCAAAAAAATCGTGTTATTTTTTTTTCTTGTTTTTCTTGTCTAATAAATAGCCTTGGCTGTATTTATTACATCCTTGTTAACGAGAGAACGGAAGAGAGAGAGAGAGAGAGGGAGAGAGAGAGAGGGAGAGGGGGGAGGGAAAGAGGCTTACGCTTATGCTTAGGCTTAGCTTAGGCTTAGCTTAGGCTTAGCTTCGGCTTAGCTTCGGCCTCGGTTCGGCTTAGGCTTAGGCTTGCTCTCTCAAAAACCGACCATCCGCCTCCGAGGTACGCTTAATTTATGTGCGGACGCCTGGGTGGCTAAGGACCCCCAGCAAAAACGAGATGAAATATAACGATGCGGCTTTTCCTCTCCGCCTTTCTTCCCCTTATCCCCCTCGTCTCCTCTAAAATGGGCCAAATGGGCCCCATTTCCGGCCTTAGGGCCCAACCCGAGCTCTGGGACCCCCTCTCACCTCACGAAATTTCCATAGGCCAATTTTATTCGATGCTTTAGCTAAGATAAACCTCCAATTAATTCATTTTCACGCTCGTTGTATCGCTGAAAAGTTGTTAAATATAAATTTGAAGCTGTGAACCATATTCTTTGCACACTTAAACTAATTTTTTTTTAATGTTTTTACATATCTTTTATTTCTATATCCATTATTTTATTTTTATATCCTTTATTTTTGCCTATTTATATCATTAAAATAACATTAAGATTTTTGCTTAAACATATGCTTTAATTAATTCATGAATACGTTAAGAACATATATTTCAACGGTTTGCCAGATCTCACTTGAGAATCTCGCGTTCTCGGTTGCATTCCGTAGCCTCGGGGGGATCGAGCGTTAGATTTCTATCTCCAAAACTGCCCTCTCCACGTTCCTGTAAATACTCCCTGAGGCTATAAAGCGCTCATAGCTCTATTTTAGCCAAGTATCTCTCCATGCTAGAAACCCGAAGGCGTTTGGCAGCAATTTAAAAAAAATCAAAATATGCCACCGCAACATCTTGCGTACCATTGTCGTAAAAAACATGTGTTGCATAATTTTGCGTGCAAACTGCTGGATTTTTGGAACTAATCATAGGCCAACATTGTCCCAATTGCAAAAATCTCGGCAAAATGAATTTAGACGGAATGAAAAGGAGTCTATATAATAGGCCATTAAATGAGATGTAGATGAAACATTCTGTTTGTTTGCTTTTTTTTTTTTTTTAGGGTTCGTTTAAATTTGGTTTTTTTAATACATTAGTATAGACTTTTTAATTCAGACGTTTTAATGAAATCAAAGATACTTTCAAACTGATTTATCCAGCAAAAAAATAGTTGAAAGCAAAAACAAGGTTTATGGAAAGGAATGCTGTTAGAGTTCCAATGAAAAAAGGAAAGGTTCTAAAAGCATGTTTCATGTAAGATATTGTCTGACCATCAGCCGGTTGACTGTAATGGCTATGACGCATATCCTAAATTCCCATCCCTTTAAAAATGGAAGCGTGGCTCCGTTTTTTCAGCCCCGTAAAGCCGTATTGTTCCGTAGTCCCCGGGGGCCGGAAACACAAAAAGTGCATGTTTGGCGATGGGCTTACGGTAGCGGGGTTGTGTTTCGTAGCAGAACCCTTTTCTAGTATGGATTTTCTTAAGAATCAGGTTTCTTTCAGCATCGCCTACTTTCATGTTATTTTAGGGATTGGGTACTCTCCTTAAAAAAATCACCGTTTTTTTATTTATTTTTTTAAAGATTGCTCTTGGAACGAAACTTTAAGTAAACCTAATAATTAACTTGAATCTCGGTTTCCAGTCCCTTTAAATCCGCGCCCACCGCCCATTATTTATCATTTGCCCCCTTCAATTTCCTGGCCCACTGACTGCTACTGGGCGACTTTCAGGGTCGTTTCTTGTTCTTTTCCGTCTCTCTCTCTCTCTCTCTCTCTCTCTCTTTCTGACCTTCAAATCCTCAATCCCGACCCCATCGGGAAAATGCTTACTTAGCCATTTGTCGCCCAATTTCCTAGCGCCCACCGGCGGTGGACCGCAAAACGGGATTCCCCCCGCCCCAGGATTACTCATACATCCCCCAAATCGCCCTTCACGCCTTTCGGGCTTATTTTCGAAGAATGTGTTTCATAAATTTGCAAAGTTTATCGTTACCATTCGCTTGCAGTGTCAATGATATTCTTCGTCAATTTCGATTGATTCATACTCCACAAATTAACGCGAACTGTTTCGATAAATTTATAGCGTAGTCGATGGACAGGGAGTCGAAGTACAAAAAAAAACATAACAGGTTTTGTCTTCACACCTCTGAGAAATATTTTTCGCAGGTGTGTTCCAGAAATTTTTTTCAGAAATTTCAGAAATTTGCTAAGCTTTTGGTTACCGCCCTCTTGTAGTAAAATTAGTTCTGATAATTTCTGAATTTATTTTGATGATATTGATTATCTTTTGATTTTTGCGATTCATCCCTAATTTATTCTTAGGCTACAGGTCAAGGCGAACATTTCGGTAGTTTCGAATCCTCACATTCAAATTCTGTCTAAACGACCGGGAAAGGCAAGCTTGTGGATTTTTTGTGACCGCGACACGCAACGCCTTCGCCCTTCCTGCCCCGGGTTACGCAACTAAAAAGATTTCCAGTTCGGTGTTTTCAAAAAAATATGTTTCCCCTAAAAAATGAACAGGGTGACTCGAGCATAAGCTAATGCTCTCCCCTGAACATCGTATGAATTTTTCCAAAGGCCACGGATAAGGCAGGCTATGGTGAGATATGGGAGAGAGAGAGAGAGAGAGAGAGAAAGATATAGAGGACAGCATTTCTTTAATTCATCAAGAATTTAAGAAAATACCGTACTTTGTATTTTTATCGAAGGTGCCGATATTTTTTTCCGATTTTTAGGCGTTTTCGACACCATTCGATAGCGCATCAAAAACATGCTCAGATTTTTCATCGCACCCCAAAATAATGCCATAAAAATGCCATTTATCCTCGACGAAAATGATGAAAATGAAAATGATGGTGGAAAGCGAGTTTCGATTTTTTGTATTTTTTTCGTAGTTCGAACGCGCCTTTTAAGCTATAATTTGCACACCCAATCAGGTTGTCAATAATATTCCCGGGGCGTTGTCGGGAGTCATTGGTCGACTCGTCGGTTCGGCCACTTGAGTGCCTTCACCCAACCCCACCACAACATTGGTCAGCACAGTCTAAACAACGTGTCAACTCCCCCCCGCCCCACTATTCCCCTCAAATACCCCCAGGGGCACAATATTCGTGTGCATTGTATGCGCGCGTACTTTACGCCCGGTGCTCTGAACTAGGCGCGGAAACTGGACCGATAACCTCTGCCGAGACATGTCTCGCTCTCTCTGCCTCTCACCCTCACTACCGCTCCCTCTCTCTCACACGCTCTCTCTCACTCTCTCTCTCTCTTTCTCTCTCGGTGTCTCGGTCTCTCTCACTCTCCTTCTATCAAAAATATCTCTTTTATGAAAGCTCCCGATATTCAGGGGTAGTAAAACGATGGTACAGATAAGATAAGTAAAGTTAAAGGTTCCCACCCCCCATTACCTGGATTTTGCTAGTTTCCAACATTATTTTCATTGAAACATTTTTTATCCGAGTTTTCGATTTTTTTCGGTTCGTGTTTCATAAAATTCCCCGGAAAGAGCTTCCTGCATGGCGGGTATTTGTATATTTTTCGATACGCCGTTGCAAAGTATCTTTGTAGTATCCATATACTGATGGTAGTAATTTTGCAATCACGACGTTTTCCTATCTCGGTTTGGGAACATTTTTTTTGCAAAACCGCCGCCGCTAGACTACTGTTGTTTTTCACAACAGTTTAGTTTTCTTTTGCATCATCGGGATTTGATTTAGGCATTACCTTTATATTGCCAAATTTTGAAACACATGTATTCTCAATTTTTTCCTTATTCAACCAATTTTTGGAGCCCGAATATTCGAAGAGATACTATTTGCGGATCCAGCTTAAGTTATTGACTTTTTTAAGGGCATTTTAAATTGGCGGTGCGCCGGATTACAAAAAAATAGCGCCTTCCCGATTCTAGCTACAATTTTTTTTCCCCGATGGTTTAGAAACGCAGAATTCCCTAAAGACACTAATGTAGAGCCCAGGATTTCGCGCAGGATAAATTTTGGAACATTTTTTTGCGATCACCTTCCGTTTAATGTACCCGGTCTCTTTCTATCGCTCTCTCGTCCCCCTCTCTCTTTCTCTCTCTCTCTCTCTCTTTCTCTCTCTCTCTCTCTCTCTCTCTCCCTCCCTCTCTTTCCTTCTAAAACAGCACCGACAAGTTCAGCGAAAACTCGCCGTTTCCTACCAGCTGACTGTGACTGGCAATACCAGTTTTCGAGGTGGAGCCGAAAAGTGACAGTAGTCAGTCGATCGGCGGGTGGATAACGGGATTTTACGGGGCGCTATATGTTTGTTTGTCTGTATGTCTGTCGCTCTCTCTCACTCTCTTTCTCTCTCTCTCACTATCTCTCCAACAATTTTTGCCACGCACCACCGATTATCCCAACCCCAGGCCCATCGACAAGTACGCTCGATTGCTATATACGGTCTCTAGCTAACTATCATTTTTCTCGGAGACTAGCTATAAACTTCCTACACCAAATCGTCTTATAATAACTTTTTACATAGATACAGTGGCGGACAAAAGTTTCCAACATTTAGTTTTTTGGCTCTATTTTGCCGATTTAGTGTGGAAATGTTCCCTAGATCGCATTGATAGTAGAATTCGGCGTGCTTTTTTACCTGCAACACGCTTAAGACCACAAATCCGCAAAATAAAAAAGGTCGATAAAATTCTCAAAAATGTCGATGACAAAAGTTTCCAACATTTTTCTTTAAAAGCTCCGGGGAAATGAATGGCGTCCTCTAGAGTGGTAATATTGATGCCAAATCGTTTAACATAATTGTTTTCAAGCATTCATGGTTGCAGATTAACTCCTACAGCCCACGGGAATTTTTTAGAAACATCGATTTTAATATGGGGATTCCACATTTTGGCTTCTAGCTCTCCAAATTCTAATTTTTGTCTGAATATCTAAATACGGCCCGATAGAGCGCCAAAAGACACACATTTTGATATAAAATAGCTTCGTGCTTCTGGGCTGAGGAAGAAGCTACACATGGATCAATTTGGCGCGCGGTGCAACTGCTTCTATTTATTAGAGACGGCCTCCCATTTACTATGCGCGCCACTTATGAGGCGCGTCGACCGTCCGTATCCGTTTGGATAAGTGCATTCATGAAGCCCATGTCATGGTTCATGAATCAATTTTTAGCTGTCAAAAAGTTTTACTTTAAATTGTAAATGTGGTTAAAACTTAGAGAAAATTAATGCAAAAAAATTTTGAGAACGACGGGTGGATAACTAACGTTCGAAAGAATTGGCAGCGCATTTGTCCGTTATAGGAAAATTCAGGAAACATTTTTTCTAGCTTTTCACAGCTCCAAAAATGTAGGTTTCATATATAGCTAGAAGTCTGGCTCCCATTTAGCGTTAAGGCTTGTGGTCGATTGGTGCTTTAGATAGGGGATTTTCGTGTTTTTTGATAATTTTACACTTGGAAAAGGCAAAGATCGTCCACGCATTACGGGAGAGTTTTGATTTTACGGGCTTTGGCATGGCAAAACATATAATTCGGACAACGCTCTTAAACTCAAGTTATTTGTTTCATTAAAACAATGTAAAATAAGATTTTTATGAATTTACAGAATGCTTGGAGACGATTGTTTCTTTACATGAAGCGTTTTTCTGCTTTCTTAATTTTTTTTCGCTTTATAAAGGGAAATCGAATCGGATTGGAGGAAAATAAGATGGCGAATTACACGAAATTAGTCATTTTTCAGACTAATTCTTGGCAAAACATAAGATTCGAACGGATTGTTAAAATGTGTGGTGTAAATTTAAATTATTTTTGTAGTAAAACAATGTCGAATTTTCCGAGTTTTCTTGTTTTCTGAATTTACAAATTCATCTTTTTCCGAATTTCAATTCGGTCAGGTTTGGAAGCGGACTAAGACAGACCGGATTTTTGATAACTCAAGTCGATTCTGAAGCGAACTAAGGCAAACCGTATTTTTGATAACTCAAGTCGATTCGAAACATTTTATTTTCACCAATTCGACTTGCGTCACAGCGGTTCAATAACAAGATTTTTTGAGGGTTTATATGATTTTTAGCCTTTTTCAATAAATTAAATAAATCACGTTTTTCTTAAAAAAATCGTTCCTAGCTAAGCGAAATTTAGGGCTTATCCTGGCGGAACAAAACCTATAATTTTCTTGCCTCTGGGGTTGACCCATTATTTTTCCTCTCAATCGCTTTTTCGCGCCCACCTTAAAACTAAATTTTACAAAATTTTACAAAAATACTGATTAACAGATGTATGCGAGTAACAGAGGCTGCGATATTATGGCTCATGTTGGGTTCTTATCCTTCTACCTTCTTGAAACATTTTTCCAAGAAAAAATATGACACACATCCGGACGACAACTATTGTCCGCGTCCGCTCCCTAAATGCTGGCATCTGCGAGATGGAGCTGAATTTTCGCTCAGACTCGTCGGTATTTGGGACGACGGCTCGACATAAAATTAGGTCCGAATTTTATTCAAAAAAATTCTGCACTGTTTTACTCGGCTTTTCACTATTTCTGCCATTTTGTTAAGAGTTTTCGGGTGCTTGAAAAGCCTGTGTTGCATCGAAAATATGTCTCACTTGCAAGTTGAGATACTTGACGATAAAATGTTTCATGAAAGGCTTATGCATTTTTTCACATCCTGGTTGCAATACGTTCCGCAGCTAATATAAATTTTCAAATTTTCTCTGACCTACTGAAAAGCTGCTACCACCCAATCTGCATGTTTTTACCGAAATTGTTAGCAAAAAATTAATATTGTTTATTGATGTAGAGGAATCTCAATACGGAAATGAAGTTTCCTTAAAAAGCGTCATTTTATGACGAATAGATTTCCGTATTAAATATACCACATTAATCGTCTCTGATATTCATTTCTGCGGTAGCCCGTTGGAGGGCTGTTTACAGCCGTCGACAAATCCCTAAATGAGCCCCGCAGCCATGGTATTGAGTATTGGAGGGGGGGGCGGGGGATAATTACCATGGTCGTCCCGGTTCTGCCATTCCACCCCCCACCTCCAACAGAACCCCTCCGATACAACCCTATAAACACTCACTAGCCGGTGCCTATATGGCTGTCCACCTAAAGGAACTGTGTGGGGAAAGGCGACAGCACAAATGCCTACATCGAAAATTCCGACGTGCAAAATTTTGAATAGCGCCGAGAATATGTCGGTATTTTGGCGTGTCGGGATTTTCGATGTCGGGATTTTCGATGCCGGTATTTGTTCTAATGGGACTTTGGCTGTCGGGATTTTGCTTTTAAAGCGCGCCCAACTTACTCACAGACATTGGCGCCCAAAAATATCGCAAAACGGTAGCAAGAGAAGTAACAACTTTTCAAAAATTTTGATGCTTGTCTCATAGTTTTAATTTGGTTTCTTTTGTTTTTTTTTGTTCTCTCGCAGTCTTGATCTCCTTCCCTCTCGCTCCCTCGCTGTCTGTCTGTCTCTCGCTCTCTCTTTCTCTCTCTCTCTTTGTCTCTCTCTCTCTCTCGCGCTCTCTGTCTCACACACACCCCACGCACTCTGGCCTCGTCTTTCTATCTTTTTTTTTGATGTTTCAGGTCTATCTTATGAAGCGCAGAAATTGTTGCCGACCAATTTTTTCCTTCAAAGTGTCCAGTATTTTTCCACTTAGTCTTAGGTACTTATCCTTATTTTCTATATATTTTTCGTTTTTAGCTGATTTTTAGCGGATGCAAATTTCCGAATCAGATTATTCATCAGCGCCTCCCCCCCCCCCCCAATCAGGGGCTTATCAAAAAGTAAATACCTTAGTCAACCTGTCAATAATAGACACGGAGGTTGGCCCGTTGACACGGCATAACACTTGATCCTAAAATTTACTTTACGGGTTTATAACCTATTAGATAATCCAATTACTTTCAAAATCCTTTCAACTATATTCTACTCCTTTCTAAGCATTTTCTCTCACTACAACTTCATACACCTTAAATTATATCGACTTTAAACCATAGTAAGTTACTTTCAAAAGCCAATCGCTTGTATCATATATATTTAATGCACCTTAAAATATGTAAATTTTGTAAATTAATTGAAAAATTAAGGTGAAGGAATAAAACGTAATTGGTATTAACGTCCCATACGATAAAACAATAATTTTCGAAATTATTTTTACTTTATGATCTGAAACATTTTTCGCAAAAAAAAAACTTTCAATCCTTCAGCTTTGTTAAATCGATTTCGTCGGAATCTATTAAGTTCCGTTTTAAGCACAATTTCCCGCAATTCATTGAAACACTCTTCATGCATTTTTGCGCTTTATTTCCTGCGTGAAATTGATTTTAATGATTTTTTTGAATATCGCTATGTTTGGGTGGCTTTTTGAAAATTTGATTGATTTTTTCCGGGCACAAAATCACTAAAATAACAATATTCCTTTCATTAAAAACACAAATATTGCAGGCGATACCCGGATGCGCAAAAGTTCGACATGGAGACGATCGCGCAGCAGCCGAATGATTTCCCAGGGGTAGGAAGCGACCATTACATGCATAAATTTTTAGCCAACCCATGATAATGATGAAACATATTTTTAATGAATTTGCGAAATTAGAGGCTTTTGCCAAGTTTTCATAGTAAACATTATTATTTTTTTATTGTATTTTGATGTCGAACCGCAATTTTTCAAGATTTTGGCGCGTTATTCTGCTTCATCTTCAATGATTTCGAGCTGCAATGTAAAATTTATGAAAAATGAAAACGGCCAATGGTAGTATTTTAAGGGGAAGCCTTACAAAATTGGAATTCCATATTTTGCGCTCTGGGCTCCCAATGATGAAACACGTTTTTGAGAGTCGAGGTTTTCCATTTTTGAAAAAGCCCTGAAATTTATGCATATTTAAGTAGATACAAGCGAAATACAGATATCGAAATTCCGAAAGATATACTATTTAGGTTTTGTTCTATTTCGAGCGAATCAGGCGAATTTAATTTAAAGAAAACCAGCAAAAAAATCTCAAATTTTGGAAGTCTGACTCAAATTTGTGCAGGCTTATTCAGCTCTGAAACGAAAATTATTATTATTGGTCTCAATACGCATGTATCTAATCTTTTAATGTAGTTACACAATGGGCGAGCCGTGTCTGCAGAACCAGGGGATCGCCATGCCGATCTGGACGTGAGGGAAAAGCAGCGAAATCGACAAATCGAACGCGAGTTCTTACGGTAAGATCCCTTCCGTTTTATTGCATTTTATTATTTTATGCAAGCGTTTCTAAATTTGGCTAAAATCTCCCCATCTTTAAACCAGTACTCCTCTCGGTTTTCGCCATTTGAAAAACATTGTTTCGTCGAAAATCCTTAAATAAATTGACTCTTCGGCTTCAATCGTTTCATCTTACCGTAAAAATTATTTTTTTTTACCTGACGACGAACCGTTCATTTTTTATTTTTAAACTATAAAATCTATTGTTGCGCTGCAAGGGGGGGGGCTTTTATTTATTCGGGAGTGAATAATCGGGCAGCCTGATTTAGTGAAACATTTTTTCCGAACAAATCACAACCCATTTTGCTCTTTCGTGTTATTTTGCGCCGTTTTTGTTTCGGTCCGACGGCGACGCAATGAAAGCACTGTTTTGATTCTTATTCCTTAATGCGAAAACCTACAAATTTTTATTAAATATGAACCAAAAAATCTATCCAAATTTGGGAGTAAAATGTGTCATATTTTCGTGAATTTGCTACCTGAGATGTAGTTAAATATTGGGAAAAACACTATTAAACTGATTACTTTTGTCTTACTAGGCAGTTCTGTACATATACAAAGACAAAACACGGCAACAATTAGACTGAAGCAAATCAAAAATAAGGCTACACTGAGTTAAAACGCTTTTTTTTCAAAATTTGGTTCTGGAACATCAGTTTCGGGGGTTACGGTAGTTTATCATGTACATAAAAATGGATGTCAAAAATGAGATTATCTCTATGGGATTCATGATTATCCGTATTTCTATATTTATTTTTAGTTCCTCCCTGCGCTCCTCGAAAAAATTGCGCTCGCTGGAGAACAAGAATGAGGTGCGCCCGAATGGAGAGCAGGTTTGTTAGAAAAACGAAGTTTCAATTTTAAGTGAAATCATACTTGCTTCGTAGCGATTAATTTTGTATGTTGTCATAACCATCGCATCAATTTTTTTATAACCTTAATTTAATTGTTCTGGTTTCAGGCATCGGACCTGGAAAAGGGCTACCACAACCCGACGTTTAATGACGCCGTCTTGAAACGTGGAAGCGGCGAGAATAATAATTCTGGGATTGGTATGTTTCTGGAAATTATCTCTTTATCGTATTTTACACCGGTTTTAGATAAAAAAGGCGATAAAAAATCTGAATTCGCTAAAATGGCTGTTTCTATGGGTTTTATGGAATTTCAATTTTAAAAACCTTTTAAGGCTTCAAAAGCAAGTTTTAAGGCATATTTCCAATTTTCGAATTCGGATCGGGGCCGCATTAGCCGCCCCTTACATTAATTAGCAATACAAAAAGATGCAACATAGTTCCTTAAATATCACTATTTCCAGGCCTCAAACAAGTAATGGTCTCTGTGGATCGACTAGCTGAGCATCTCTCCAAAATGGAGGGCCGCGAAGAGGATGGGCAGGTGCGTGAAAATTAAAGAGTTTCGGAAACGTTGGGGATGGGCCATTAGAAAAACTGCTTATTGCGGCGAGGTGTTATAGAAAAACATTATCCTTCCGTTGAAGCCTTTTTTATTGATCTTAGATAGCTTCACAGCTATTTTAGAGCCCATACAACGTAAAGAATAAAAGAATTGAGTTAGTTGTAGTGTAAAAAAGCTAGAAAAAACCTAAATTTAATATTTTGCATATTGTAGATGGTGACTTTTTCTAGTGTCGAAAATTCGAAAAATTAAAATCTTTAAAATTTCTCGAATAAATTTTTTTGAAACATTTTGTTTTTCAGTTGCTCCGAAAATATTTCCTCAGCGACACCGCGAAGCGGGCATTGGAGCAAGCTGCGACGCATGCACAGGTTGGTACATTTATTGTTAATTAGCTATAATATTTAAATAAACAAAAATAATTTGGAATTACGCTAATCTGTCAGGCATTAAAATAAAATGTTGCGAAGTCTAGCAAAGTAACAAATCTGCGCGGCCTGTTAATGCGCAAAAGTCCTCCTCCAGCTAATAGCATTTTGATGTGGCAAAAATTCCCTTTTAGCTCCCCTCCACATCAACTCAACAGCTCCCCGGCGAGCCTATTGACGGAAAGCCGACAAAAATCGTCGTCATCCGAAAAGATGCCGACTCGTACTTGGTATGCACAATTTTTGGATTGCCGATATGGATTTTTTGGACAGTACTGAATTCGGAATCTACGAGTTAATATTTTCTGCAGATTTTTTCGGAACACTATTAATATTTTTTGGGAATTCTCAGATACCCGCTTTTTCAAAGATTTTTGTTAGAAAACTCTGCACGAAGTCCGTGAAAACTGAATTTTTCTTTGGTAACTGTATCGAAACATTTGCTTTGAAAGCGAACGGAAAAGGCAGATAGGAACAACGCCAGAATTCTGGAAACGAAAATCCCGACCGCCAAAACACCGACACGCAAAATAGGTGTTGGAAAGGAGGTGGCATTCAAACTAGCTGTTTAGTCTGTCGGGATTTGGCCGTCGGGATTTTCGCTGTCGGCATTTTTGCTGTCGGTATTTTTGACTAAGCTTTAAGCCTAAGCTTTAACTCAACGCAAAAATTGTTTAGAGCGAAAAATTTTAGACGGACATGGTTCTAGAAAAAAATATCTTTCATAGAAATTACAAGTAAACATTTCGCAAATGCGTTAGTCCGGCCAAGCCAATTGTAATGTTTACTATATATTTTATTACAATTTCAGCGTAGCAAAACTATATTATGGAAAAACATGATGTTCAGGGCGCTACCGTACGAAACGAGGGCGAACGGGTGATTGTTGGGAGAGTGGTGCGTGGCGGAGTGGCCGAAAGGACGTCTGCATTCAGGTAAAAAAACGCTAAAACAACAAAAAATCCTTACTTTTGCTATACTTTGTATAGAGAAGGCGACGAGCTGCTTGAAATCAACGGCACCCCACTGAAGGGGAAAACGGTGGCAGAGGTGTGCGATTTAATGGTACGTTGCTGGCTATGGTTCTTCTTTTTCTAGCACGCTCCCTTGAAAAATTTTGGCGCACGCGGGTATTTCCCTGATTAGAATTCATGTCTAAGAGCTAATAGCGTCGTTTCGCGAAACAGATTTTTGAAAAAAAATTGTCAAGAGTACGTTTCATCCATCTAAAAACCCTTGGACAGATAATTTTTGACATTAATCGCGTTAACGATTGCCGGAAAATGTTAAAATTTATAATAGAGAATGTTACCTAGTGAAAATTATGATACAATTTGGATTTAATGCAATTTAAACTACAAGGCCTTAATTTCGATCATGATCTAGCCGCGAAATTTTCAAACAATTACGCGCTAATTTGGATTTTGTTAGTTTTATTGGCTTTTATTGGCATAAATTAGCGCTAATTGAGTATTTAAATAGTTTTGATATTTTGATTTTGATAAAAACGACCAGCTTAAAATTTTGGGTCAATAGAACAGTTACCAAAAAAATGTTTTATGGTGTGAATTTTGACGACTAATGACCGCCGCGTTCCGCAAGCTTTGTCAAAATACCATAAAACAACATATTAAAAATGATCCCATTAAAAATGTATTTTTAGCGAGTCCTCAGCGGGGAGCTGCGATTTCTGGTGAGCCCTTGCCCGGAAGCGGAAACACCCCAAACCACCACCTATGTGCAGCACCTCCGCGCCCTCTTTGACTACGATCCAGAGGTATGTTAACGGGCTGTAAACAGAAATAAACAAACTTTAAAACATTAATTTTGGAAAAAACTGTGTTTTAATTATCCCCTGTAAAAAGAATGATATTTGCTAATACAATAAACATCGAAATTTTGCCTATTTTAAGGTTTTCGGACCGCGGTTAAAAGAGGGCTGAAAACATTGAAAAATTGTTAGAAGATTCAAAAAATGGAAGTTTGCAGGAGTTAAAACATAAAGTTTGGAAGATAAAATAATTTGTAGTGAAAGAAAAATACGATAATTGGTAATAAAAAAACATCGATCTACGACTAAGTGGGGATTTTGAATACACTAGGCTTAAGGCTGGTGAATTTACCTATATAAAACAAAAAAGGCATTCGATTAATTCGATTTGGCAAAAACTCCGCTTAATGGGGTTTATCCTCCTCTCACGTTTTTCCGAAACATATTCTTTCCAGGACGACGTCTATGTGCCGTGCAAGGAGTTGGCGCTCAAATTCCAGCGCGGCGACATTTTGCACGTCATCAACACCACCGACGAGAATTGGTGAGGATTTTCGTCATTTATAATTCCGCAAAGATCTCTGCTAGCCTGCCACGCAAAAAGTTTTATTCCAGATTGACCTTAGAAATTGGGTCCGACAGCTGATTTTTAAAATCAGTTAAACTCAGAACAAATTAAAACCGCATTTTTTGAGATTTGTTTTTACGAAAACACATTTAAGGTGGCAAGCCTACCGTGAAGGCGACGATCCGCACCATTCACTTGCCGGTCTCGTCCCCAGCAGCAGCTTTCATCAACAGTACGTTTATGTTACAAAAAAAAGATCATTCCGAATAACTTTACAAATGTATTTTTATCCCAAACTGCATAGAACTTGAATGGGATTTTAATTAAAGGCACCGAATTCACGACCACCTTTAATTGTACTGAAACATATATTGTTTTGGAAATTTATGGATTCAATTCCAGCTGTTTACTGATTTTACAATTGTAAGTTAAGATTTTGCGACAATGGTTTTGGCCTTAAAAACAGCTTGTTTTGTACTAATTTTTTTGCCATAGTTTCTAGAATTCAATGTTTCAAATGGCTAGAACTAAAATGAAATGATTTTATGCGCAGTTTCCAGCCCTCAACTGCATTAAATCAGCGAATTTTAAAGTCCTGAAATTTTTTGAAAACTTTGTAAATTTGAATTGTGGCTTGGAGGCTGCACAGCATCATCGCTGAGGACGCAGAAAATTCGTTACTTTACACATCATAAAATTATAGTTTTCGATAAAGCCGCTCCGCCTAAAATTCATGTTTCATGAAAATACACCATCATGTAACAAAGTTAGAGCTGAATTCGCTGACTTCTAGCCGACTAAAATCTAAAAGCATTCTAAAATTCCAGGGTGGTGATGTACACCGACGAGCTCGAGAAGGAGCAACGGCCCAAGACCCGAAAAGAAGCCCGGAAACGGCTCCCTGAAGTCTTGAAGGTACCTTTCTAGCCTTAAACTATTTTTGATAGGAGGTGTATAGAAAAATAGGTTTCAAAATCCATATATAAAATTTTTTAAATTGAATTAAACAACGGTAAATCAATGTCGTATTTAATTATATATTAAAATAATAGAAAAAGTCTTGTAAAAGGCTTTAAAAATAGCCAACTTAAGAAAAGTCTAAAATATAGGTTCTAAAAATAGACAAAAATAGTCAACCTGAAACACATGATTTTTAGGTGCTGCGACGCCGAAAATCGAACGACTTGAAGCCGGCGGACGAGGCGGCAATTGCCACTGGCGTGGGATACCATAGCGGTAAGTAATTTTTTTACTTAAATGAAATTTATATAAGTGTTTTTGGCTTAAAAGGTATTATGAAAAAGATAGATTGGATATTCTTTGAAAAATCAATCAAAAAATTGACAAAATAGATCGAAAGCGACCAAAGATCGTGAACTAGTAGCCGAAATTCTAGAGGAATTAGTGCGGAACATGAAACATTTTTCCTGAACATAGCCGTATTTTCGCTTATTCGGGGACAATAAAATAAACAGGCTCTAAAAAACCCTTAAAACTCGATAATTCAGAGAACACTGTAAATTTATTGAGATTTAAAATCAGCTTCGAATTAAAATGTGCGCTTTTCATGTGTTCCCCCTGCAAAGAATTTGCACAAAAATTACACAAAGAGAGCGAGAAACTAGGTAGCAAAATTTGTGGTGAAGCATTGATATACTTGAAACATCGATCACAACTGATTTTTCCTAAAAACTGACGGTGGCATTTTATATTTAAAAAATAGCTGTTTAATTCACGTCCTTAAGATCTGCTAACGTACGAAGAGGTCGTGCTCCACCTCGCGCGCTCCGACCGGAAACGCCCTATCGTACTCTGCGGCCCGGAGGGTGTGGGATGCCTCGAGTTGCGTCAGAGTTTACTCGAAAGCGACAAACTACGATTTGGGGGAGTGGTTCCACGTGAGTTATAATACATCTTTCGCTCTCTCACTGCCCCTGTCTCGCTCTCTCTCTCGCTCTCCCTCCCTCTCTCTCACGCTCTCTCTCTCTGTCGCTCTCTCTCTATCGCTCTATCTCTGTCTCTCTCTGTCTCTCTCTGTCTCTCTCTGTCTCTCTCTGTCTCTCTCTGTCTCTCTCTGTCTCTCTCTGTCTCTCTCTCGCTCTCTCTCTCTGTCTCTCTCTCCCCCTCTAGCGATAATTCCCTTTAAAATCGAGTGTTTCTCATTCCAGATACCACCCGCCAACCCGTGGCCGGAGAAATTAGCGGAACCCACTACCATTTCGTGTCCAGACAGCAATTCCAGGACGAAGCAAAGGTATGCAAATTGACGTATTAAATTCTGCAATTTTATTTGTCCTTTTTATAACGTTTTCCACAGTTTAAAGGTATTTTATTTAAGGGTTACATTCCTTTTTCAATTCCTTAAATCGGAATCAAATTAGTAAGTTTCAAAAAAATTTGATATTTATGGCTATCGCGAGTCCTCTAATAATTCAGGAAGAGGAGGGGTGAAAATTGCAATTTTCGTTTCAGGCCGGTCACTTCGTCGAATGGGGCGAGTTTGAGAAACATCTGTATGGGACGTCGGCGGCGGAAATCCGCAGCGTCATCGCCAAGGGTGCCACCTGTATTTTGACGCTGAAGCCGGAGGTGGGCGAACGAAAGAGCGTGAGAGAGTGAGAGAACGAGAGAGAGAGAGAGAGAGAGAGAGAGAGAGAGAGAGAGAATATACAAAATCAAAAATTCCAGTCTCTCGCCGCGATCCGCAACGCCGACTTGCAGCCGTTCATCATCTTCGTCGCCCCGCCCTCCCTGATCGTGTTGCGGCGGCAGAAGGAGCTCGAGCGCGCCAGAAGGGTAGGTATTTAATCCCAATCCCGTGAAATTAAAATTAAAATTATTTAGAAATTAAATTTTAGGTCAAAATATCGATATTTTTTCGAGCGAAAATATTCAAAATTGCTTCTTTTCTGCACGCATTTTAAGGTTTTATGTTTCAAATCTAGTAGCTAAGGCCCATGAAAATATTCTGCAAACGCCATAACAACACCATTCAACATTCCAGGCGGACAACACGCCCCCGGTGCGCGATGAGCAGCTGAAAAACATACTGACCCATGGGAAGGCGATGGAACAGGTATCCCTTAAAAAATTAAAGCGAGAAATATCGATGTTTGTTAGTTTAATTATTAACAGCTGTTAATTAAATTTATTTCAATTAGTTTGAAAGTTTAATAAGTTAATGGTTTAATTTAAATTTGACCCATTTAAAAATCATGAAAAGCACTAATTGGTCCGCAAGACTGCAGATTAGCGCGCAATTCGCAATGCTACTAACTAATGAAACATTTTTCTTAATACTGGCCTGTCTGGAAAAAGACCCTCAATTCTGTTATTTTAAAATTCATAATTATCTTTTGGAATAAAGTAGCAGGGAGAGGGTAGGAATAAAGTAGTTTGAAGCTTTCAAGCGATATTAAGAACGTTTATTGCTGTTTCCTAAAAATCCAGGAAGCCTGGTAAAGTGAGAGTTTTAATTTTATAGTTTTAGTTTGATTTAAGACACGTTTTAACCGTGTTTTTAGCAAAATTATAATACAGGGTGTCCCAAAAAAACGAACCATCTGGCATTTCGCCGTGTTACATTCAATCGGCCCAAATTTTGGACCAGAGGTGTATCAGACCCTAAATAACAACAATCCTGACTTTTAGCCCCGTAGCTACAGTCGTTCTCGAGTTATAACGAAAATACTGTTTTTCCCGGAATTCCGAACAGGTTTCCCAGTCACCTGATCGAAAAATCGCCTGATCGAAAATCTCCTGATCGAAAATCGCCTGATCGAAAAGTCGCCTGATCGAAAATCTCCTGATCGAAAATCGCCTGATCGAAAAGTCGCCTGATCGAAAATCTCCTGATCGAAAATCGCCTGATCGAAAAGTCGCCTGATCGAAAAATCGCCTGATCGAAAATCGTCTGATCGAAAAGTCGCCTGATCGAAAATCGCCTGATCGAAAATTGCCTGATCGAAAAGTCCCCTGATCGAAAAATCGCCTAATCGAAAATTTCCTGATCGAAAAGAACCCCACCGAATTGCTTCTGATCGAAATTATTCTAATTTACAGCATGCCTAACTCAAATCCTTTATTCACATAATATGAGTGAACGGCATGATTGAAACGGAAAATTACAATAGGCACGAATTAGGTCAATGTCTTTGCAATGGCAGTCAAGATCTCGCCATAGCAAATGCTTATCAAAGTTGTAGCATATTTTCTCGTCCGGTCGCGTTTCAATTTCCACATGGTCGTGTGCTGGCAGCCAAAGTGTTGGTTGAGTGCGTTGTTCGTGCCTAAGCCTAAGCCTAAGTCTAAGCCTAACCCCGAAGCATGGTATGACAAATTACTTCCAGGTGCTGGGGCAAGAATAATTTTATTTCACCTGGTGTGGTCCTTCAGCCCCGATAATTTTCGATTAGGCGATTTTCGATCAGGCGATTTTCGATCAGGCGATTTTTCGATCAGACGATTTTCGATCAGGCGATTTTCGATCAGGTGTTTTTCGATCAGACGACTGCCAACCAGTTTTTTCGGCTATCTTTTTGGACTTTGCATCGATTTGCATCGACTTCCGGCTGCGAATCCCTAATTTCGCTTAAGAACTGTGGTAATTTTGCGTTGTAAAAATCGCTTAAATCGAAGCTTATTTAATTAATTTTACTCTGAAAAAAATTTCTTAAGGTATAAAATGCCTACCGGATCATTTTCACTTAAAGGGATACCCAAGGTTTTGGCGTCAAATATATAGTTATGGATTCCGGGCAGTACAAATGGCGCTCGAATTTTGTGCGGCAATGGGCCCCCAATGCCGCACAGAATTCGGCCACCTTTCCCTCTTGTGGCGTCCCCATCCCATCCAATGGCTTGCCACTATGGTCTAATGGATAGCATCCAGGCCTACAAAACGGGGGTCCCGGGTTCGACCCCCGCCCGCGGCATGGTCTTTGCTTTTTGAGCCGCGAAAAGGTTGGGCATCCCTTTAATGTTTAGGGGGTCTAATTCCACGAAAACCCTATGAAAAATAGAAAATGAAGTTTGTTTTTGCCTAACTCGAAAACTACTGTAGCTATGGGGCTGTAAGTCGGGATTGTTGTTATTTAGGGTCTGATACACCTCTGGTCCAAATTTGGGGCCGATTGGATGCAACACGGCGAAATGACAGATGGTTCGTTTTTTTGGGACGCCCTGTATAAAAATTGTCAGCCAATTACACTATATTTATTGGGAAAAAAACTATCTAAAATACTTAGAACCCTGTTCAAATTTGAGTAAAAAATCTGGATTTTTTCTATATTTTAATAAAGTTTTTAATGGCTTTTTTAATAAGAATATAATTTGCACTTTAGAATAGTAAAAACAGCTTAGAAACAAGTCCTATAAATATATTAAAAAAGTTCACTTCTGTAGAAACAATCGATACTTTACATTTCCTATATTTAAGCTAAACCTAAATCATACGTTCCAGAAATTCGGGCACCTGTTCGACCACATTGTCGTCAACATGGATTTTGAGCGGTCGTTGGCCGAGCTGCGGACCGTCATCCGAAAAGTGGAAAACGAGCCGCAATGGGTGCCCGCCAATTGGATGCCCCCGGAACAGCTATAAGCCACCCACTTCAGCATCCCCTTAAAACCATCGGTACTGGGCTGTTAGCGGGGGGATATTTTCATCAGTACTCCCCTAACGGCCATATAACAAAATACCACCCATTTTTATGGCATGTTACACAAATTTCAGGCAGGCAGACTTCTAAAAAAAACGTCAATTTTTGTTCAACCCGCATCAAAAATGACCAAAAAGGGTCCAACTTTTGAAATTTTGAAAATTTCGAAATTTCTTTGGAACTTTCTAGCAATCAGTGACAACTAAAAACCCTATAGAAATCAATTATTTTTATTAACAGCTAGGTAGCGACGGAAAATAAATAAAAAAGTGGGGGAAAATATGTTTGTAATTTTCTAGCAATCAAACCTTACCAAAAATAGTCTAAAAAAATATTTTCTATGTTATTGATAGGTATCGATTAAAAAATTTGAAAATAGCCCGCCCCCCGCTAAGAGGGCAGTACCGCACTTTCAACAGCCACATAGTCATTCCCGTGAAATGTGATCGATTTGTTCATGTGCGCCTTTACTCTCTATATGTTTCATTTTCTGCTGAAATTCGCCGTGCCTCCTTATGGCTTGTCTGCCCGCCACCTTCATTGCTTTTTCATAAATGTAAATTTTTAACCTTATTTCGCTGATTTTGGCGCATTTCCAGTAGTAAACAAAGCTAGAGATTTATCCGTGCCACATATCCCTGCTGAAAGCCCTAAAATTTTAATTTCCCCAGTCAGAAAATTTTTTGTCCAACTTTAATGTGCTTCGACGGCAACACGGCGGCGACGGCCGCAAGTGTCCGCGCCGCAAGTGTCGCGGTACCGCTTCGACCCGATTATAATTTGCAATTTCTATGCGATAAATATATTTCAATTAAACGGCATAACAAAAAAATATAAAATGCAAAATAAAAGGTACGAATAAATCTCTGCTAGCCTGCCCTCTCGACTTCCTCAACAATCCCTGCTAGCCTGCCCAGTATGCTCGAAGCTTCAGGAGATCTTTGAATCCCACGACCTCACCGGAAGCCAGCCAGAATTTGCATAAATTTCTAGCTAAAATTGGGTGTAGCCAGTCCCAGGGATTCGTCTTTTTCACCACACTCGGATGGGCAAAGACAAGAAGAGCAAGCAGAAAGTACGTTTGATGCTAATGTCGTATGCTATTTCTGTGGACTTCGAGATGATTCTTTTTTTTTGCAGAAAAAGACCAAGACGGCCTCGTCGTCCGGCGAGAACAAGAAGTCGGACTCGAGCAAGTCGGAGAAGGACTCATCCGGATCGGATCAGGAGAACAAGAAAGAGGCCAAGAAAGCCAAGTTCAAGCCGCGCAAGGTAGTGGTCGATCTCTCTCTCTCTCCACCACTAGATGTCTCTCTCACACTCTCTCCCGCAGCTGAGATCCCACTCTCTCTCTCTCTCTCTCTCGTCTCCCTCGCTCTCTCTCGCTCTCTCTCATTTCTCTCTTTTTCCAGCACCAACATGCCGATCAAGTGATCAACCACGAGTTCTTCCATGGCATCCTCCCCAACGATGTGCGTCCCTTTATTTTTAATCTTATTTTTTGATTTTTTTCAGGACGTCTCCTCGATTCTGACAAAAGACGGCGACTTCCTCCTCCGCTCGTTCATCCCCGAGGATGACCGCCAGGCCGAGCCCAAGCTCATCTTATCGATTTTCTGGCAGGGGAAGGTAACGGAAAAGTGTTACATCGAATTTTCTGGAGCGTAACTTTTTTTCTTGGCAGATTTTGCCAGATCTCCAAGAAGGTATAATTTAATCCTGGCTTTCACTTAAAATCAGCGTTTTTTTTGCAGATGAAAAACGCGCAGATCAAGGAGGCCAAGACGAAGAAGACGGTGAAGTACGTGCTGGGCGGGGAGAAGCACGAGAGCATCAACGACCTCATCGACATGTACCAGGTCCTGGGGGAGGAAGGATGGGCTTGGGATTAGGCATAGGCATAGGCTTGGATTGCTGCGAAACCTCGGTTAAACCAGTCTCATTTTAGATCCGGAAGCGGAAGCTGCAGATGGGCGACGAGGAGGTGACGCTGTACAACCCGGTGAAGCGCCAAGCATGGGAACTGCGCCATCAGATGGTCACCATCGAGAAGTAGGCTCGCTTTTCTCTCTCTCTCTCTCTCTCACTCTCTCACTCTCTCTCTCTCTCTCTCTCCTCTCGCTCTCTCTCACTCTCAGGCACTCTCTCTCGCTCTCTCTCACTCTCTCACTCTCTCTCTCTCTCTCTCTCCTCTCGCTCTCTCTCACCTCAGGCACCCTCTCGCCTCTCACCCCCCCCTCTCCTCTCCTCTCGCTCTCTCTCACTCTCAGGCACTCTCTCCCTCTCTCTCACTCTCTCTCTCTCTCTCGCTCTCTCTCTCTCTCCCTCTCTCTCTCTCTCTCTGGTATTCAACAACCAATTTTAGGGACAAAAAACTTGGAGAAGGCGCCTACGGCCGTGTCTACAAGGGGATGCTGAAGAAGAAGACAAGCGAAAAGCCGATAGAGGTTGGGACAGGCTAGCAGAGACCCTTTGCTGACCTCCCCGTCTAGGTGGCCGTGAAAGAGCTGTGGAGCGAGACGCCCGAGGCGGCGGCGGAAGTGTGGCGCGAGGCGCGCGTCATGCGCAACTTCAGCCACCCCAACGTCGTCAAGATGTACGGCGTGTGCAACGACAAGGAGGTGTGGATGACGCTAAATTTCAAGGGATTGGCAAGGCAAAATGATGTTCATTTCTAGCCGTACCTGATCGTGACGGAGCTGGTGCACGGCGGCGGTATGGATCGATATCTGGAGAAGCGGAAGTCGCTGAAGGCGCTGCCAGCGGTGAAGCGGGTCCAGATGCTGCTCGAGGGGGCACAGGGTAGGGAATCTCTGCTAGCATGCCCTCTCCTTTTCCTAAATGATCTTTACTAGTTTTCCATATTTTCAGGAATGGAATACATCCACCAACAAGGCGTCATCCATCGCGACATTGGCGCTCGCAACTTTTTGATTGATAAAGTTGTCAAAGTAAGGTTTCTCTCTCTCGTTCTCTCTCTCTCTCTCTCTCTCGCTCTTTCTCTCGCTCGCTCTCACCCCCCCCCTCACTCACTCCGCCCCCTCACATATCCTACCTCTCCCGCTCTCTCTCCCGCGTTCTCTCTCGCTCTCTCTCTCTCTCTCTCTCGCTCTCTCGACTCACTCTCTTCTTCAGGTGAACGACTTCGGCCTGTCGCGCAGTATCGGCAAGAAGGGCTACAAGATCAACACGGAGGGTGACTGCAATTTGCGCTGGATTGCCCCCGACTGCTTCACCAGCGCAAAGGTGCGCTAAAGGAGCGTGACGTACTTTTAAAGGGGACGAGTCAGCGGAATTTCTATTGGTACACTCTTTAACGGACTGGGTACTCGCCCAAAAACGTGATCCCTCGCTGTCTCCCTTCCTTTAAAGCGTTTAGGAGTGCCTACAGCAACGGATAGGCTAGCAGTGATTTTTGAGGAAAATTCCATAAATCGTGGGCTCGAAAAGTGGCGTTAAAAGGACTGGAGGCCCACAATTCTGTGATTCTTTTCATTGCTGTCAAGCTTGCGTTTTTGTTATATTTTTTCCATGTAACATGTTTAATTTACGAAAAAATTGTTTCGATTTCGTTAGGTGGTTTTATTGTGAATATTTTGATACTTAAATTGCTACTCGTTAAATTTCTAGGTAATTCGGGAAATGAAGCCTTTCTAACATAACTTTCAGTGATTTTCCAGGTCGACTTCAAGACGGACGTCTACGCGTTCGGCATCACGATGTGGGAGGTGTTCAAGATCCCGTACGAGATCCCGTACAACGGATGGGATGGAACAAAAGTATACTTTGCTTTGAGGGCCCTTTAAAATCAGCAAAATCCAAATTTTTCTCGTAGCTGAATGGTTAACCTTCAGCCTGCCGCCCCGACGGCCCGGGTTCGATCCCGGCCGGGGTCAAATTTTTGCTTTTTTGCTGAAGCTAGAAAATAGAATTTTTGGGAGAAGGGGCGTGGCTTAGGAAGCGCTATGGCTTGCTGGTCCCTTTAAAACTGTGTTTAGGTGTACACGGAGGTGGTGGAAAATGGTTTCCGTTTGCCGCCGCCCGAACATATGCCCGAAGGGATCCGCGAGCTGTATGCTGAATGTATTACGACGCCGGAGGTAGGAGAGGGAGAGAGAGAGCGAGAGAGAGAGAGAGGGAGCGAGCGAGAGAGAGAAACGTAAAAACTTTCTAGATATTCAGCAAAAATAAGAAAAGATTATTTTCGACATTCTGATATCAAATATTTTTCAGAGCCGTCCCGATTTCAAGTCGATCGTGTGGATCCTGAAGAAAGTGATGAAGGACCCGAACGCGCGTCTCGGCACCGGTGTCTGATGGCCCTCCCGCCCGCCGATGTGTCGCCGTCCCTTTAAAACGAAGCCCCGCGCCCTCGAGCCGTCTATTTCCCGCCTGCCTTCACCATCCCTTTAAAAGCCCCCAATTTTCGATGTATATTGTATAGACTTGTGTATGCGCTCCTTCCGTCGCCCCCCCTTTTCCTGGTCTTTTTTTTGGTTTCTATTCCCGCTTCTTGTTTTTTGGAAACTCGCAATTGGAATTCTTACTGATAAACCCTCGCTGTATGCCTTGAAATACACGTTGTTAATACAAGAATACCTAAAAATAATCTAGGTACTTCGCATTATCGGGGGGGGGGGGATCAAGGCGAAAACACAAAAACAAAGCAAATAATTTTTCGAATAGAAATAGACGAAGTTGGGGAACTTTTTCAATGGGTTTTTAGGACTCTTAAACGCAAAAACGTTACAAATTTCTAGTAACAAGCGTGAAAAAAATTTCTGCAAATAACAATAAATTACAAAAATCCGATTTTCGACAAAAATGGTCGTTTTGAACAAGGTTTCGAATGTCAAACTGTCAAAAGGCGGCACCTCCGGGGCAAAGACAGGCTTCATCGAGTCTAACAGTTAAACCAATTTATTCTTCCTAAAATCGCCTTAAACAATGAGAACCGGGCAAGGAGGACGTGCCCTCTAAAAAGAGAAGATATGAACAAATTACTGAGAATGGGCTATAAAACGCGGAACAACCATATAACCGGTTATAACAAGGGTGGCGAGAAAAAGGGAAACCGGGAGAATAGGAGAAACAAGAACACCTCGTAAAACAGCATGCATACAATAAAAGGAAACATGGCTCAAGGACAGGGCAGCTAAGAGAAAAAGTCGTTTAGGAAGCTGTACAGACGGCTGTCGTGTGGGTATTCGAGGGTAGCGCAATCCGTTCAGCGTTGAATGGCACGTCATTCCTTCCTATTTCATAGCGGCAATGTTCTGCAAAAATATGTATGCACGGGGTCAAAACGGCAGCAGAGAGCAATTTTGAACCCATCAATGTGAAAATTTGCAAATTTTCAGATTGTTCTATTGCACTATCGAGGGAGGCGGACCGAATTTTTTTGTATAAACAAATGGCTGCGTTATAGCGAGTACTTTATTGGTGTTTTTGGTCAAATATCACTATATTTCAAATAGAAAAACCATTCAAAACCTGAACATTTTCAAGGCAATATTTTGGAAGAAAAATCGGTCTTTGTCATCGAAAAATCGCAATTTTGTATTTTTTAGCACAAATTTCAAACTTTTACATTTAGGAATAGCAAAAACAAACATTTTACAAACAGCTCCGCCACCTATGTTTGAAAACTTGGATCCTAAGAAAAAAGTTGGCTTCCCCCGATAATGCGACAGAACCAAATGAAAAATTACAAAAAAAAGCGAAATGCGGCTGTTTTTTGTAATTCAAAGTCGACAAAGCACCAACCTTTTAAGCCATATCTCCAAAGAGTCAGCCCCGGGGCGAGGGTCGGCGACGCCGGCGGGATCAGTTAGTGCGGGGTTGCGGGGAGAGCAGCGGGCGGGCCTCAACCCCCAACCAGGGCCTCGAATCGCGAGTTACAAAGGTGTCCTGTTTCTTCGAGGCTCTAAAATACGGGATTAGGCTAAAAAGATAAAAACACGCTTACCCTCAGGGTCCCTGTGACAACATCAGCTTGGCCATGTCGCCGTCGAGGTCCTGGCTGAACTGGGTGCCGTGGCCACCGCCCTGCGAGAGACCGCCATCATCCTGGCTGACCTAAACAAATAAATTCCGGGGCTTTTGTATGTATTATATGCGAATAAAGTGGTCTACGAAGCATCATTTTAGGATATTTTGATTAAAAAACATTCAACTAGAGAAACAAGAGATTGAACAGTTTTTCAAATGAGAAACAATATCTTACCATTTGTGATGCGCCACGACCATGTCCTGGCGTGCGCCAAGGCTGCGCTTGCGACTGCGATTGTGAGGCGTCTTGCGAAGCCCACGGGACGGAAGCATCGCCTTAAAATTTTAGATAAATCACAACATAACGCCAATTTATACCCAAAAAGTCCTGGCTGGCCTGCGAGGCGTACGAGTCGAAGGTCGTATCACGTCCTGACGTCCCTCCGGCACTCTTCGTCTTCGAGGCGGGCGCAAGTGGCGGCCACGCGCCGCTGGATCCCGTGCTAGCGGCCTGTTGCTTGGCTTCTAAACAGCAAAAATTTGGGCTGTACGTAAAGACCAACGATTTTGGGCATTGTAGCGCGACTGGGCTGCGGCGACTACCTGGCCAAGGTGGGTCATGTGGAGAGGCATCGGGAATTGGGCCTGCTGCTCGCGCAGCGACTGCGCCGTCGCTGCAGCACCCGGGTCGGCTTGGGCTAAAAAATGATTTTAACAATGAGTTTTGACGAAACGCGTAGAAAAGTGAAAAACGTACCCTTGGCCTCGCCGCGGTATTCGCTCAACGTGTACATTTGGCGCTGGTCCATGCCAGAGTGTCGCATGCTCTGAAAATAAAGTTGATGCGAAAGATTTGGGCCCTCACCGGATAGGCCGGATTCGTGTTGTTCAGCTTGATGACAGGCAACTGGATGTGGCTGGTCTTCAGGTTGTTTAGCGCTCCTTCAACGATCAAGTCCAAATCCTACAAAATTCAGACGTATTGGTGAAAAAAAATCTATTGGTACCTTGTAATAATTGAGCAGCTCGTTCCACAGCGGCTGCTTGCCCAGCACCTTGGCGTTGCCGATGATGATCAGGCCACATTTGGCACGCGTGATCGCCACGTTCAACCGACGCGAGTCTTGCAGGAAGCCGATACCGCCGTGTTCATTCGAACGCACGCACGTGACGATGATCACCTCCTTCTCTCGGCCCTAAGAAGGGCAATATATTTTTGAGGGGCGAACCTTACCTGGAACGCATCGACGTTCTCGATCTCGATGGCCTCGTAGAGGTTGGAGGGCAGTGTGCCGTGATTCTTCATGTAGTTAACGAGATAGGCGCGCTGTCCCTCGTACGGTGTGATGATACCAATGTGTTCAGCACGCATTCCACCCCTGCAAACAGAAGCTACATCGGATTGGGCAAAAAATAACGAGGTTCTGCGGTAAGCTACGCACCGGATCAAGTGCGTCACCAGCTTCTCAACGTTTGCGGCCTCGGTGCGGTTGAGGTACGACGTTCCGGACGCAGCGATCTCTTCCTAAAACAAGGGTACAAAAAATGCAGAGCAATCGAACCTGGCCGTAGCTCGTCCAGAACATCAGCGGCTTGTTCTGCACCGGCCACTCCCATTTGATGCCCTTCAGCTTGCGATCGTCTGAAAACGGGAAACATCGTAAATCAATGCCACGTAAAATAATTACAAGACTACAAAAACGCAGCGTAAACAAGCCCACCCTCGGTGACGCCATTTTGCAGCTTGCCCTCGTAGAAGATGTTGCTTGGGAAGGCAGATAGAGCGGGGTGCATGCGGTATTGCACCTAAAATGTAATGGGCCCTCGCTAGAATTTATACCTGGAGCCGAATCGGCGTGTTGTTCAACAGAACCAGGCGCTCGAACATGGACTGCGTAAGGCCGGCAGCAGCTGCCTAAAATGACGATGTAGTGAGCAGGACCTCTAGCCTTTTCATAGCCGTTTATTTTTGTATTTCAGGCATATTCGGCATATGGAATTGTAAAGTCCAACCTTCTTGCACATGACGACGGGCCCCAACTGCCGATGGTCACCAACAAGGATCAGCTGGCGAACGCCGCGGACGAGGGCCGTCAGCACTTCTGGCTCCGTCGCCTGCGTGGCCTCGTCGACGAGCATGCACTTCAACCGCAGACCAGCAAGGCGCTTGTCAGCCGCCGAGGAGCATGTGCAGCAAATGACATCGGCGGCCTATGGGAAAAATCGATTCTCTCGATAACACTGCTTTATTGATACCTGTAACAATTCGCGCTCCTTGACCTGCTTCAACCGCCTGTAGCGTTGGTCATCTTCGGCCGACAGTTCGCCGGTTTCCTCCTAAAGCGAGATTTTGGGAGGAGCCTGTGATTCCGAACCCTGAGCAGCTCCAATTTGTGCAGTTCAGCAGCCGATTTCAATTGGAGCAGCTGATTGTGCAGCGTGAGCCCTTCAACGCTGCTGTCCAGCGCCTCCCTGCTCCTCGCCACCATTCGGATCACCTAACAGAATCTGCTTGAGAAAAAAAGAGATCGAGCAAACCTTCAAGCCGGTGCGATGAATTCGCTCGGCCAGCTGATCGACGGCTATGTTGGATGGAGCGCAGACGAGGACTTGCTGCCGGTGTTCGCCATCCACGCCCGTCGCCAGATGGTAGACGATCGTCGCCGAGGTGACCGTCTAAAATGACAGATTAAAAGCGTGCTGACGTCACCACAAAGCAATTTTGGTTAACAAAAAATTAGAGAGCCGAATGATCAGGCTTTTACCTTGCCAGTTCCCGGAGGGCCTTGAATCAGCGACAGCGGGCGGAGCAGCACCGATTTGACCGCATGGATCTGGCTGTGATTCAATGGCGGCAGGCCCGGCGCCGACAATTTCTTCGGGATTTTCATCTAAAATCCGGTTATGAGATCACCGATAGTCCGAGGCACCTTGAATTCCACTTCTGCGCACTCGTGGCCCATCAGCTTATGGTATATGTAGTCGGAGAGTGAAGTCGGCTCCATGTACAGCTTTTTCAACGCGTTCTGCATCCGATCGAATGACGTCGAGTTCCAGACCACCTGAACGAACAATTTTTGGGCAAAATTTCGCGCCGTATACCTCGCACGTCCAGATAATCTTCGGGTCTTGTGAAATCTTTTGCTGCTCGGACTTCATTTCCAGGCCAATTTCGTCGAGATGATCTAGGGGAAATATAGAACACGCCAGCGTGAAACTTACTATCCGGAACCTTGATGACTTGCCCAACGTAGACCTGCCATTCTTCGTTGATCGTCTGGCAGTGCTTCAAGCGCAGCTCATCACCGATAACCACTTTCATGGCTGGAAAAGAGTTGGGATGACAAAACTGGGCAAAGTCGCTCACATCCTTCCTCAAACATCGGCAACCGGAAATAGGCGAGCATCTTTCCGTTGATTTTCCGCTGCCAAGTGACTTTGCCGACCGTCTGCGTTTGGTGCTCTTTCATCGACTTGTCGTAGTCGGCTTCATCTTGAATGAGAGGCGCAAATATTTTCCAGTACTGGTACGCGTCCTCGTAGCTAGAAAACAGAAAAATCGTCAAAGGTGCAGATGTATTTCATACCGGAGCATAACCGGCTCGCGTTCTGTGTCCGCGCCGGGACGGTCCAGGTCCTCCATCACCGCATTGGGATTACGGCGCCACAAGTCTTCCAGCCTAGAAAGCAGTTAGTGGTAATCCAAGGCGAGATCATACTTGTTAATCTGCCGCGAGGTGACTTGGACAGCACGCAATTGCTTGGCTTCATCCGGGACCTCGATCAGCCATTTGAGGAGCCCCTTCTCGTAGACCAATGGCTTCCACTCTTCGTACTGAAAAGTGTATTTAAAGGGATGCTGACGGCATAGGCAATCTGTTACGCGCGGAAAAGAAAATGTCTCTGCGCCTCTCCCCTGGGCGCGCTCTCTGCCTTGTTGGCTACTTGCCAATTTGTTGATGAGGGGGGATCGACACATGCCGTCGGCATCCCTTTAATAGCCAATAGGTATCAGTAAATCCTCAGCTTTTCAATTGATTAATACGAAATTTTAAAGCCTCCGCAGCAAGAACCAACATCACCTCGTCACACGCAAAAACCCTTTCATTACCTGCCAATCTTCCTGAGCTTGTTGAGTGCATTGGTTCCGGCAAAGTATGACGATCAGCTGCTCCTTCGTAGCTGGGATGAAGCCCAATAAAAACACGTTGCGCGAACCGCACTAAAAACCGGTTCGAAATAAGTGCGATAATCTTACATTGTAACACTCCAGTTGGTGCTCGCCGAGGTGAGAATCCTTGTGGAGATTTACCTAAAAGCTTCAGTAAAGCCAAGAAAACAACAACTACCGCTTTGTGTTGGCTGCGGACGAGGTGGTGGATGATGTGGGCCATCGGGGTAATACCCTTGCCATTGCAGAACCATCGTTTGCAAGTGTCGCATTGTGCAACGCACTTTGTGTCGTGGAAGCCACAGTACCTGAAAAAAAACCATGTCTCATCGGCATCGTTCAAATCCCCACTTGCAGGCAAATTCCGAAAGCTCGATGGCTTTTCCCTCATCTTCGTCATCGTCTTCTTTAAATTGTAGCTCCGAACCGGCCTGAGAGAGGCCGCCTTGTGAAGGCTGGGAGTTGAAGTTGCGAAAATCGTATTCGGAATCCTGGAAAAGCCGGTATTTTAAAAATTTAAAACACATTTAAAAATCTGTAGTGGCTAAATACGTCCGAATATATTTTATACTCACCTGCGATACACACGGCAAAGCTGTGTCATCCTCGACGAAGTCCAAGGTATGCTCGCCTCCGTACAAATCTTCCTCCATGTTTTCCCTGTAAGAGTCAAAAGTTATTCGTCAGTCGCAACTTCGAGAAATCGTAGAAGCAATTTGCAAAAACGCCCAACGCTCGCCGCAAATTCATTCCCATCACAAAACAATTAAAATCTAGTGAGCAAATTACGCCACGAAATCGGGGCATTGTCGCAGCAGTTCCGTGCGTGGTGAGTATGCTCCCGTGCTTGCCAATGCCCGATCGCGCCAGCAAAATGCTACCCCTCTGAAAGAAAGAAAAGCGCAACAAGCAGACGACGCTCCCACAATCATCGAGTGCCAGTGTGACAAAACAAGTGTACAATTGCGTGAGAAAACTCCAAGTGTTTGCAACCCATGTGTAAGTGTGACAGACTTTGGTTGAAATTTATTTACAGAACAAATTGAAAGCAAATTAACAACAATGTCATTACAGGGTTAGTTGGTCTCCTTTCGGGTCGTGTCGCCGGCAGCAGGGTCCGCGTTGGTGTCCTTGTTGCTCGCCTCGCTTCCAGTCTTGGAGACGGTGCGGCGGCGGCGGCGTTCACCGGCTTTCTAAAACAGAAACATAAGCACGGTCACAAAATCGCAATGATAAATCATAAAAAAACCAACCTCGGTCTTTTCTTGCTTGTTGGAGTTGCGGCGAGGCCTGCGGGTGCGCGCCGGCTTCGGCTCGGCCTTGTCGTCGCGGTCGTTTTGCGACTTGGCGTTGCGTCGGCGCGGCTTTTGCTCGTCGTCACCAGCCTTGCGGTTGATGTTCTTCTTGCGGTCGAAGAAAGCTAAAAGAATTGGTGAGGCATTGTCAAAGAAATTTACCTTGACGGAACCAGGGAAGTTGGAGAAGATGGTAGCGCGAGCCGACCACTTCACCGCCGTCCGGTCCGGTGACGTTCACCGCCTCCAGTCCTTTGTCGCTTTCGGCAATGTCGAACTTGACTGCCTCACCGTTGCCAAGGGTGCGCAGGTAGTATTTCTCAGTCTTCGATTTGGCGATGGACGTCTGAAACAATGAAAATAAAAGGTCACCCAAAAAAAAGCCAATGGGGAATCCCGTTTTACGGCATGGCCCCCAAAATGTCAATTTCGCGGCTGGAATCGATGCAGCTCGATCAGTTTGTTTCCAATGGATTTTTTCTGCTAGAAACGTATTTCCCAATCTTTTTTGAACTGGAAACGCGCAAGTTCGTTCAGCTGAATCGATTCCAGCCGAAAAACTGACATTTTGGGACCATAGCGTAAAGTAGAATCTAGCCAAAACCATTCACGCCAAATTCAAGGTGCAAACCAAAGAAGCAAAAGGATAAACAAACTCACTTGGTGCACAAAGACGTCTTCCTCGGTCTCGGTGCCGATGAAGCCGTAGTGGCCCAGGACGGAGTACCACTTGACGGTGCCCTTCACGTTCCGCTTGACGATTTTCTTCTCCTTCTCGGCCAGGAACGCCTGCAGCTCCTCTTCGCTCATCATTTGGCGCTGGACGCGGCGGCGACGCTCACCGTTGTCCTTGAGCTCAGTCTTCTTCAGCTTGTCGCTGAGGTCGGCGACTTCGTCGGTCTTCGTTGTGGCCATCTTGCGTAGTCGTTGATCACCTTTGAGGGGTGGTTGAACGTGTTGCAGAAAGTGGGAAAAATGATTGGTTTTTGGGAAGGTCGACCGGGCGGTTACGGTAGCTGGTCCTGGCAGGAAATTCCGTAATGTGTACAGCCGCGGACAAGAGTGAATATCGTCGAGTAAACGATTGCTTGTGAATGTAAAACTGAACGGAAGGTTAAAAATTGTGATAATTTTTGAATATCGTGGATTTCGAAAGAAAAAGTCGTTCAGTTATGAGAAATGGTATTCAATTCTAACTTTTCGTTTCACTGATCTTTTCGTTTTTGGCCAAAATAGGTTAAGAAGCTTAGCAAAGATTTAGTTTCTGTTGATCGCTCTTTGATGTTTTTAAACCCGGAATTTTTTAGATTCACACATTTTATGACAGTATTTCACGGATTTAGAGATCCAAGCCCGGAATTCGTCGTTCACACACTTCCTAGTCCTTTTTTGGTTTGAGCGGCTGCCCAATCTCCAGGAGTCTTCTTTCGTTTCTTTTCTTTTCATTTTTCTTTAGTTTGTTAGCTGGTTTATCCGCCTGAAGTGTCGTGCGAATTTGTTAAAAACAATATTAAAATATGGACTATGACGGTCTGACTTTACACAAAAAATCCATCCCCCCGATAATGCAAAAGAACCAATTTAATTCATAAAGATCATGGCGTTGTTTATGACTATACACCAAAAGATAAATATACTTTGTAAAATCAACTTGAAAAATTTTTTGAACCTTAAAAATCAAGTGTTTCGAGAAAAATTAACAGGAACTAAAGGCCGCATATAAGAGTTGCTGTTGTTTCTCAATCGATAGAGCATTTTTTGATTTTAAATTTTGTAAAAATTTATAAAATAATACCGAAAAATCCCAGTTAATGTCTTGAACCTAATAATTCTGTTTCACCCTCCAAAAAGGGCCAGACACGGCCTCAAGTGCTGCTGACCCGCGCCCGCTTGACAAATGCTTCCCCCGGGGGGCGCCAGAAACAAATTCTTTTCCCGAAACGGACTTGGTCGACGAGAAATATGTACTTGTGTTTTTAAAAACTTTTAAAAGAATCCTGAATTGGCTTTTATTTGGTTGAATCTTGCACATCCATTAATGCACAAAAGTTTTTGCAGGATTTTGTAAATTAATAATACATGTTTTTTGGTTAGTTTTCTAACTCGAGCTCAAATCCAAAATTAATTCTCCCCTGGGATTCCAAGGTATAGTTTTCCCAAATAGTCTCTGCTAGCATACCTCGGGTTTTTTCGAAAACTCGAAAAATTAATGTTTCAAGTTAATTTCATACCGGAACCTCTGTTCTGCCGCCAATCTCCACGCATTGTGTATGTACAATTTTTGGCAAATTCCACTGCCTCGAAAACTAGATTTCCTGTCTTAGGTCACAAATTGCCTCTGCTAGCTTGCTTGCGTAGGATTTCGGTAGGAGAAAAACCAATCATATTTCTTGAATTTGCGACGTGAAAAATTTTTGCAGTTTAGTAATTCCGCTTGTAGGAATATTGCTGGTTCGATGCATTTGAATGATCATTGCTAGCATGCCCATTTTTTTTATTTCCACTCGTCGTTTCTTTAAAGAATTCAGTGACGATTTATTGTTACAAAATAGTGTTTCATTAAATTCGAAAACTGTGAATTTTTCGGACGAGATAATATAGCGATTTGATGCGCACGAGAATCCCTTTGTGTTTACTATGGCAACATTTTCTATATGGGGCCTTGAAAAAACATATTTCCTAAAATTGTGCGTTTTCGTCGTTTCTACGAGTTTTGACAGCCTTTCAAATTATCGATAAAAATGTGTGTTTCAAGAAATGCCAAAGCGGCGTGTTCTTTTTCGAGAACTGATAACATGGAAATATGACTTCTCAATTTATAATTTTCCCGTGGAGCAGCTCCAGGATTTCCGGCTGTTTTCCGGAGATGTGCTCTCCGTCTTGGAGGCATCGGAATCAGGAATTAATAACAAAAAAGAGCACAAAAAGAATTCGGAATACAAAGGGGGAGAGGGGATGGGAAGGGAGGGGAGAATGGCGGATATCCAGCCAGAAGGGGAGGGTATAGCTGCATTCAGGAGACGTGTCTAATCAAGGCGGTGTTACGCGACCCTTTTTGATCTAGCTTGTTCAGGCAGTGGATTTGTAAAATATCTCTATCTCTATCTCACTCTTTCTCCCTCTTTTCGCTCTCTCTGGCTCTCTCTCCTTCTCGCTCTATCTCACTCGCTCTCTCTTCGTCTCTCTCTCTCTCTCTCCTTTTGTAGCCTTTTAAGAATATATAATTATCTCTCATAATACAACCGTTTGTAGTTGTTTCCATAATGTTCATTAAGACATACAGAATTGATGAATTCAGAAAAGAGTGTTACATAAAATTCGATGAAACATACTTTACTAAAAAAATTCGTCTAAATAAACTAAATACTAAATCTAAAAAATTTTTTCACTCGTATTTCATGCTTTCTCGCCTTTTTCAATGCTTATTAAGCTTCGTTTGACCGCTTTAAGCGCCATTATCGTAACCAGTTGAAATCCTACTATATATAAAAAAATAGTGTTTGTGTGTGTGTGTGTCTGTGCCACTTTGCATGTAACTTCCGTCATTCTGTCCGGAGGATATCTCAAGAGAGGAAGGGTATTAGGCTACGCACGATACGTCATTAGGTGCGTAATGGCCCTGAGATGACTGCACGCAGATCAGATTTATCAAAATTGCCTATTTTCGACGTTAAAATTAAGTTTTTGTTGGAAAATCGGCGCTCCTCTTTGTTAGGAAAAAATTAGCATGCGCCGGAAGTTCCGGTCGCCTATATAATGGGCTAGCGAGCGCCGTTTTCTTTTTTGTCATCGGAAATCCAAGAATTATGCAAAGTGAGGTACATCATGCGATCAGACGGGGCCAGGGTTGAAAAGTCGCGAAGCGGCTTTTCAACCCTGGTTATTATTATTAAAGTTATACCACGGCTTTATATACTGATTGAAATTTCACCATAATGCAAGGCTATTTCCGCGTAGCTGTTTCGATACTGGGTCACCCTTCACATTAGCAACCTAAATCAAACTCGATTTTTAAAATTTCATGAAACACCATTTTTCGCATCAATTTTTTTCAAGCTACACATTATATTAGCATTTCCGATGCCTCACATATTTCCACGTAAATTCACAATTTCTCGGGAAATACCGCTCGCTTCTGCGGGGCTTTTCCCAGGTCTATAACAATGCGGTAACGAAGGTGTGGGCTCTCTCTCTCTCTCTCTCTCTCTCTCTCTCTTCCCTCTCCGCCCCGTCTAATCCAATCCAAACGGCTCATTAGCCACAACATTCTCTTAGAAAAGCGTTTCACCCCGATACCTCTAGCCATGGTGTGACGATACAACACCTCTGGCTACGGATACCGGGAGGTGATCTGCATAGGCTTCGCTTAGGCTTCGGAAGCTTAGCTTATGCCTACTTGGTTTTTCATTGGGCTTTGCAACCAATTTTCTGCCCTTACAAACGCGCTATGTCTCATGCCTGTAGGATATTCCTTCGTCGATAATAGTCGACTTCAAATTTTGTTTAGAATTAGCTTAGGCTTATTCCGGTTTTTGGTTGGGCTTTGTAGGCAATTTCCTGCTTTTTCAGACGCGCTTTCTCTCATTTCTTTAGTACATTCCTGCGATGAGATAAGTCGACTTCAAAATTTGGCTTAGCTTAGGCTTGCTTTCGATGTCGATTGGGCTTTGTAGCCAGGCTGCCCTCTCCACTTCCTCAATAATCTCTGCTGGCCTGCCCGTTCTTTTCCAGGTATTTGGCAACAATTCAAGTTTTTTTCGGGCCCAATTCCACATTACACCCATTTACAATCTCCCCAAATCCGTCCATTCACTCAATCCATTTATAATTGGGGCCCCGGGGCGGGTAAGAATTAATCTGCTCTCGCATCACCCATCCCCTCCCGGCCCAGATTCCCCCAAAATTTGACTAAAAATATCGGAGAAAATGGGCTGGGGCGTGGCAACATCCGGAGGATTAGAGCTGGCAATCCGAAGACTCACTACGAGGATTTAGTTCTTAATTTTTGGTGTAAAATTTTATGTTGCATCTTTTATTAAAAATAACGTTATGATGGATAGTTTTTTAATTCACTAATAAGCAACAAAATACCCCATTTTTTGAAATGGTTAAAGATGCGTGTTTCATTTCTTTTTAAAATGAGTATTTTTCTGAGATGCGATTGATCGACATGAGGGTGTTTTTCTAACTACCTTTATTATTAGCACACAGGTTTAGTAATAAACAATTGTTTACTTTTTTTAAAAACGGTAATAACGTTTAAAACCGTGATTAAAAAAACTCAGAGTCGAGACTAATTTTCCGTGCAAAAAGGCTAAATGTTTGCGATAAATCTTGAATTTTGAGAACTTGGGGAAGAGTAGCATTTGACGGCAGAGGTTCAAAACATGGTCAGCAATTCACGGAGATCAATCATCATTTTGGTAATTGATGACTCCGCTTCGTCTGATTGGAAAGCATTCGTTGGATTTTTCTTTTATGTCTAATTTGGTAATTTTTAACTTTCTTAAAAACATAGGCCGTAAATCTTTCGTATAATTGCCTGCTTTCTTCCCTAATAACCTTCAATTTCTATTTTTCGATGTTTTCAATCAACATCAAAAAGAATTCTAAAGATGGGTCGAAATAAAGAAGGTTTCAGGTTTTTGCAGTGGAAAAATGTTTCGCATTGACATTGATGGTGACAAAGTTGGTTAAATGAACCATAGTAGGGTACACTCTGAAGAAGGGCAGGCTAGCAGATATTGTTGAGGAAGAGGAGAGGGCAGGCTAGCAGAGATTGTTGAGGAAGAGGAGAGGGCAGGCTAGCAGAGATTGTTGAGGAAGAGGAGAGGGGCAGGCTAGCAGAGATTGTTGAGGAAGAGGAGAGGGCAGGCTAGCAGAGATTGTTGAGGAAGAGGAGAGGGCAGGCTAGC